GTTTCTTAGGTTTCAAATTTCCCGCAAGTCATTGAAGAGCTTATAGGCTCTCTGTGCTTTGTCCACGGCACCCAAGTTCAAATCCCCTTGTCTGGCTGAGCAAGTTATTTGACCTCTTGAAGCCTCAGTTTCCTCATCTGCCAATTAAGGATGATAGACAGGACCACCCTGCTAAAAGCATGGAGAGTGTTTAGCAAGGATCAGATCAAATAACGTTAGCTATTATTCTTGTTCATCATTTCTAAACCTTTTTTTTTGCAAAATAAGCTTTATAAAACAATAAAACATACTTAAAGAAAAAATTACTTATACACTTGTAATCAAACATTTTCCATGCTCCATTCCATGCATATATAATTTTACAAAGTTGTAAACTTCGCATATTTAAATTTTTGTATCCTGGGTTTTTTCTTGCTGCTTTGGATCAAAAATACTTTACTACATTGTTTTAATTTTCATATAATCATTCTCAAAAGCTGTGTAACATTCGATCATGTTAATTTACCATAATTTGTTTAACTGTTTCCACATTGCTAATCATTTGGATTATTTTCATAGACATAATTTATGACTATGTCATTTGTATTTTTTAATCCATTTATAATCCTAGCCCTCTTCGCATTTCTACTCTGTAAAGTAACATTTCCTTTAATTTGTCTAAAATGTAACTGGATCCAGTTTCAAAGGGCCCCTTCCCTCTAGCACTCGCCATCTCTCTGGACCTCAGATAAAGGCTGTAAGCAAAGGCAGGAGAATAAAAACCTCTTTGCCTTTTCCAGGCTCTGGGAGTAGAATTTCCTGTCTTTTACGTGCGCAGGGCATGACCTGACCACAGTCCCATATTGCTAAGCGTGGCCCCATTTGACTTTGTGTACCAGGGGGCTAGTCTTTGCCTGACCCAGCCATGCTCACCATTTGACTTCACCCCTAGATGAGGCTGATCAACCCAGAGAGGTGGCCCACCCAACCTGAGCCTGGGATGCATGAGGCAGCCAGGTGCAAAGAAATAAGAGGAGTTGATTCTTTCTTTCTTTCTGGAACTTGAATGCCAAGTAAATGAGCCAAACTCAGTAAGAACCACAACACCAACATTTCCTGCTAAGCTCTTACAGCAAAGGTGACAGGATGTGTGTGATTACATATGTGCGGTTACATGATTACATGTGTAAGATTATACCACCCACCTCGAGAGGAAACTTCTCTTTTCCTGGCTTTGAAGAGAAGCAACAAGATCTTAAGGAAGGTACATGTGGCATGGAGCCAAGGGCAACCTGCAACCAACAGCCAGAAAGAAACTGAGGTCCTCGGTCCACTAACCAGCAAGATCTAAATGCTTCCAACAAGCGTATGAGTTTGGAAGCAGAGCCTTCCCCAGGCAAACCTAGGCCGAGACTGCAGCTGCAACCTGCGCATCGACTGCAGGTTTGCAAGGCCCGGAAGCAGAGGGCCTGGCTAAACCTGACCCATGGACTCCTGATGCACGGAAACCGCGAGATGAGGAACGTGTGTTATTTTAAGCCACTGAATTTTTGGTGATATTGTTTTACAGCAATAGAAAAAAAATACTGTTGATGGAGAGAGATGGTTCACATAAGTCAGAATTAGAGATGTGCAGAAGCTAGGAGTAAGCAGAAACTCAAAGTGGAGAAGGACTCGCCGAGTAGAGAACAGAGGCAGCAGCAGGCAGAGAGGAAAGAAACTTGTAAGAAGCTCAGTTTAGTTAGTGGTGGGGCACTTGAGCCAGTATCTGAACACTTCCTCTGAGGATCCTGGGTTTCAGAGCTGTCCAGTAGGGTACCCACTAGCCACTTTACATCTAAGGTTAAATTAAGATTTAAAGTAATGACATTTAAGTGTAATTAAGATTAAATAAAGTTAAAAACTCAGTTCCTCAGACATGCTAGCCACAGTCTAAGTGCCCAATAACCACATATGGCTAATGGCTACCAAATTAGTATAGAAGAGAAAACTTCCATTATTCCAGAATGTTCTACTGGCCAGTGTTGCTCCAGGGGTTCCTGGGGGTATGTGAATCAGTTCTGGTGTCTAAGAGGCTCTGCTCTGCCACCACTACTGCCTTCCCCGCCTGACACTCCCTCTTTTTCTGGTGTGCTGAGCATACAGACCTGAGGTAATGTCCAATATTTTGACATCTTTCCTACCTAGAGGACCTTCAGTGACAACAATTACCATTCCATCACATCCAACACACCAACCCTCATGAGCCTTCCTTTCCTATTACCCAGGCCATTCTTGCATCTCCCCACCTGCCCTCCATCCCTTGGGGCATTCTACATATCAGTGAATTTTTCTTCCTTTCCAGCATCTTGGGAATGAACCTGGGGAGAAATTGTTGCACTGTCTGACAGGCAGCATTTCTTCCTTGACATGGGTCCCATGGCTCTGACTGAGTTACTGGGTTTGCTTTCCCTGTTGACCTTTGCCCCACCAAACATGGTTAGCTCATTAACCATTTTGCTATTACTGTACCTTTAAATCAGTCACCAGAAAACATATTCCCTTGCCACTGTAGGTGTCTGGCATAAAACTTTATTTCTCCCTTAGCTCAGGTAACAGGATATTAAAATATTTGTAAGCATGCTGAAAAGTTCAACTGTCAAAAATAGTGATTTTGTGTCAAGTTCAAAATGAAATAGACAGTCCCAGAAGGACGATTCTGAAGAATCTGCTTTTGTCAGACTTGGTGGGGAAGGGGAGGGAAATGCAATGAGTAAGAGCCGTGGTGTGAAAGGGCTGAGGGGCAGTGAACAGGGGAAGGTCTGCATTTGATAGGGCTGGATTTTCACATCCAACTCGTATGTAATTCACACATAGTAACTCATAGAAAGTAAAATAGCGGGTGATGGATCGAGTAGCCCATAAGCCAAGGGGATTTACTGTCTAATTGTCCACCACTAAACGTTCCATTTCCAACTTAGCTCCACTCAGGAAGAGAAGTAAGATGTAAGAAATGAGAAATAAGAGGTGAGGAGGAGGGAGAAGTAGAGGGGCCGCTGAATAAGGAGCAATGGGAAATGAACCTCGTTCAGCACGTGTGCTCAGCCCTTCCGTCGCCTCCGGGTGGTGAGGGGTGAGGTCCTGTGGACATGGTCTCAGTCTTGCACACTCTCCATCTAGAGCCAGGCATGTGCCAGGAGTCTAAAAATGCTTTGTGTCAACAGATGTATACTCAGATATTAAAGACCAACATTGATATAAGCCCCCATATACTCCCAGATTTTCTATTCCTACGGAAAGTCTCCGGATCGTTCCTCCCATCTGCAACATGACTTCCCTCTTTGCAGGCAACACACCCCAGAAATTAAAGAACATGAGTTTGGAAGCCAGTCTTTGGTTCAAGCCTGACTGCAATTTACTAGCTATGGTCCTTGGGCAAGTGATCGCACTGTGCTCATCCTCATTTCCTCATCAGTAAAACACAGATGTAATAATTCCTCCCTCACAGGATTTATGAAAATTAAATGAGGAAATTTAAGATAGCTCTTCATATACACTGGGTCAACAAATACTGATGGTTGCAATTGTTGAGGTCATTGTTATTGTCAAGATCACCATCGTTGTTGTTATTCCTATTTTTCAAAATCCAATAGAAGCAGCATCTCCCCCTAACAAATCATCCCTGTCTTTCCTGGGCCACACGTAAAATCCCCTCTTCCAACCATAGCAGTTTTGTCTGAATCAAAATTTTTGCTTGTGTTTACCTTTATAACACAAATCATAGTTTGAAATAATACATTTTTTTGTATATTATATTACACTGTAAATGTTCTTTTACTGGTTCATTGTCTGTCTTGTATCTCTTTAATAGAAGAGTCCTCTCTGTCTTGTTCTTCTCTTGGATCAAATCACTCCACTTACACAGGGTCAGTATCACCTCAGATGGCTGGGAGTCCAGGTAGCATGGCTGGACCGAGAGCTCAGGGCTCTCGGACCCTTTACCTCTCGGCTCTAACTTGCCTTTTCCTTGCTCTGTCCTCAGATACTTTCTCTCTCCATTTAGGTAGCATGGTCCCTAGCCGGCCCAAGGACAGAGGGAAAAGTTTTTGATGAAACCTCTGGGGAAAGGACCTATGGTGGACTCTGACAGGCCCGTCTGAAGTCACATGATCACGCGTGAACCAATCACGAGTGGCTATGGGTGAGTGACATATTCTGATTGGCTAGTCAAGGTCAGACGCCCACCCTTACAAGCAGGAGAGTGGAGTCAGCCTCAACCAAAGAAAGTAGGGGAACAGCATATGAGCAGATGAAAAGCAATAATAAGCACCACTCTGCTGTGAGTGCCTAGCAAGGAGCACTCACAACGTAGGGGCTCTGTAGATCTCTTGAGGATGAATTAGTAATTTATGTGCCCACTTCTTGCCTCCCTGAGGCCTGAAGAGACAAGGACATGAAAACTGAGGCAAGATCCATCCCAGGAGCCAAGGCTTGTTCCCATACCCAACGGCAGCATGCTTCTGAGTAAGTTCCTTTCTCCCCTCTGAATATGCTTTTCCCTATAAAACAACATAGAAAATACTTCCGCTGTATCTCTCAGGTTTGATATGAGGATTAGGTTGGATGATGTATATAAATGGCCTCTGAAAGTATAATAGTATGCAAATGGGTGTTGCTAATGAGTCTGGAAGCCAGCTATGTCTGGGAAGTGCCTTCAAGACTCGGCACATTTCTATACATGTAGCATGTGGTGGCAGTAAGACCCTCCACACTTCTTTCTCTTAATATCTGTGTAGTATTTATATGGATGTTTTAGCTAAAGAAAGAGAATAATAAGGTGTGACTGTGCATGGTATGTAAGTGTGTGAGAAAGTGAGTGTGTGTATGTGTGAGTGTGTGTTTTAAACCAAGATTTAACTAAACCTCAGGGGTTTTCAATCTGTTTTCCTAATAAAGTTTACTCAGAAACATCGGATTGGCAGTGACTGTCGAGAGACCCCAGGGCTCTTTGTGTAAATTGAAAAGACTCCTGTGCTTGCTCCTGTTTTTATTATGGGAATCACACTAAATGTGATAATTTTTGTGAAGCGTGTTTGCTGTCAACTTCTAATTGTGCTTGTTCGTAAGCAGCTCAATGGGAACGAATTGTCTCAATCCATCTGTGATTAGTCACCAAACATAGAAATCTTCCCATCAGACCTGAAATAGAAAAAACCACACCTTCAGTAATTTCAGGTCGAGCAAATGCTGGATTCACAGACTCTCAGAGGGAAATTGATGTCAGAATGTTCTCTCCCCACAGTTGCCTCTCACAATTCAAAGCTGTGTGTGATTTTAAGTTTGATTTGGAACTGCATTCTCCACAGCCCGAACCCACGTTTTCCACATGCTAGGTACTCAGGTGTGTATTGGGACCAGACTTTCTGACCTGTGCTTAACAGCCATTATTTTGAACTCAGAATTAAGTTGACTGTTAAGACCACACACGTACTTGGTTTTATTTTGTTTTATATAAATTCCCTCACAGTGAAAGTAAAATTGTCCTCCCAGAAAAATTCTCATTGAGGACTTTCTCTAAATTTAGAAGTAGGGAAAAAAAACCTCAGGGGACATTTACTCCGAACTTGATTTAATCAGTGAGAACACTGAGGCATGGATAAATTAAGTTCACACATCCTGTTCTAAGGCACAGTGCTAAGCACATAGTACGGGCTTAATAAATCCTTGCTAATGTGAATTGAGTTGAACTTCAGCCTGCCATTACTGGTTAGCATAGTTGGTGATTTGCAATGAAAAGAATACTGGGGTCAAATTTGGCACCGTATTGTTGACATTGCAGTAACAAGATAAAACTGATGGCCACAGCGCGGCCCTTCACTAAATGCACAAGGCAGGCAGGGTGTGGCTCTCCAGTGAGTCTAGACCTGGCTTCTGACATTGCAGCTGGGCCTGGAATTAACCAGATGTTGTGCAGAGGCTGGAGAATAAGGGGAGGCTTCTGAACCCAGACCTTCCCATGAGATCTAGAAAATTTCCTCAAAGGGATCTCCCACCTGGGGTCTTCTGACCCCCTGCACCCAATATTTCCTATTTACCCATGACTTTGCTCTGCTGTTCCATCAGAAATGCTGATTCTCTTTCCCACTCGCCCCCATCCACCTCATCATGTCCAGACATCCAGACCCAGACCATAGCCATCTTCTCCTTGCAAGCCCCGCAGGGGCCAGACTTCATATAATTATCCATACAACCCTATAAATACAGATTACCCCTTTACAGATAAGAAAACTGAGATGGAGGTAAATTAATTACCCCAAGTCAGGCAACCTGAATGAGACAAAACAGTTGTCAGCCACTTGGTCAGATCCCAACGTCTGTGGTCATGATCTCACTCAAGACCTGGCTCAGCTCGGGCAGGTCATCTTAGAAGACTAATGTTGGAAGACTCTCACTTCATGGTGTCTTGGCTTATCTGAGTTTGGAATTGAGGTTCATACGCAGTCTCAAAGCAGGGCATCTGCTTAGAGCCAAAGAGCCCATTCGGTCCTTCGGGCCGAGGCCACAATGTCATTACCTTATGGGAGCAAGGCCCAGAGCTGAATCGAACCTGCAGAGATGAATCTGCTGGCTGGGAGCATGTACTGGTGTGCAAAGAGCATGAGTCACTGAGGCTTCCCCACCTCGGTGCTCTGCACATTCCCCATCGTGTCAGTTATTATTTATGGAGTGTTTAGGGCCACTGTGTGGCAGGAGTCCCATTTTGGCAGCCTAAGCTGGACCCTCAGTAGGATTCAGACATGTCCAGGCATTCAGGAAGGGCTATGAGGCAGGCCTGCCCAGGGTCTGCTTGCCTGAGGGGCCAGGAGCCTGTGGGAAAGGATGCATCCCAAGGGAGAGCACGTGCGGGTACCTAAGCTTGGGTTGGTGGGGGAGAGGGGAACGTGAGCACAGCCCCGTGTGTCGTGGGTCCCTCTGCTTTCCTCCCACCCTCAGTCACCAGGTGCTCATGCTGAGTTCAAGGCAGAGAGCAACTCAGTAAAAGAGCAAATGGAAGCAAAAAAACTTGTTCACTAAAATATCCATGAGTAGGTGAGGGCCCAGCATGGCGCCCCGCTGCCGAGCCCCCCGGGGGGGCATTGCTGCTTCACTGTCACAGAGCGTGACAGCCAGCTTGGCGAGCAAACAGTGAGTCTCTGCTCCGGTCGTAAGGAGGATGTGCCTGCAGCTGACTCTGAACAGCTGCCCCTACTGAACATATTATCACCACCCCCCTTTTTCATACATCTTTGTGTCAAAGTTTTTATTTTATATATATATTTGTATTTTTCTTTAACCATACCTTCACAATGTTGTTGTTGGCTTTACGCATGGAGCCTGCCCACCGACCAGCAGCCCCTTTTGGAGAGGGGTCAGCCCAGTGTGATGGGCACCTGTCATTCAACAATGCCTGGGATTCAGAGGACCACTTGGCCCGAGGCTTCTTGGGGGTCAAGCCTGAGCCCATGTCCCCTCCAAACCCCTGTCTTTTCAGTCGTTCAGCAGTTTCCCCTCTCAAGAGGCCTTTCCCATGGTGAAAGGTGCCAACAATCCTACTCGGGGTAAATAGGATTCCTCTTCTTTCTGCTTCCTTAATGAATTGCTGGTAATTATGGAGTTGGTTTTAATGTCATTTTAAGACTTTAAGGATTCTGTAATATCATTTTCTTTTTTACCTTTTCCAGGCCCTTCTGATTACATAATTATAAGCAATTGCTAGAAGTAGAAGCCCTGGGAAAATACAAAAATGCCACGCTGTTACATGCCACTGAGCCTTCACTCACGCGCTCCCCTGGAATGGTAATAGGAGCTGACATTAGCCGAGCACACACTCCGTGCCACGCACTATGCCAAATGTGTCCCAACACCCTTATGAAATGGATACTGTTATGGGCCTCGTGTTATAGATCGGGGAAACCGAGACACAGAGGTATGAATGACTGGCCCAAGTTCACACACTTGGAACACAACCCAAAGCCTGTCTGCCTGACACCAAAACTCAGCCTTGACCCTTCCAACAAACTGCTTCCAGACTGAATGTCCTTCATTCCCACCTCCTTCTCCATCTGTTGAATTTCTATTCAGCCTTCAGAACCCTGGTCCGGCATCATGTCCTTCCTAACTCACACAGTGGAGGTAACCTCTCCCTCTGGGCCACTTTGGCACTGTACATACAATTTTTTTTTCTTTTTTTTGGTCATTAGAGTTATTTGCCATTGTGTCTTCCTTTCACATGGGACCATAAATGCCTCCAGGTTAGGGAGCATATGTCTTAACGACTCTTTGTATCTCTCATGTGCCTGGGACATAACAGATGCTCAATGCGTGTTGATCAACCACTTATTTGAAGAAAGGAGTCACAAAGAAACACTATATGGTTATTTTAGGGAACATGGGACTCTTACATATCCTCATCCCTTTTAACATTTCTACAATATGAAGCACGCAACAGAGTATTATTTTAAAAGGCTTTATAATCCCAATCTGAGACCAAGTTTCCCTTGTTCTTTTTTTCCATAGACCTACCATTTAGAACAGGAGGTGGCTTCTAAGTTTGGTGACCATGCTCCTTGTCTGTCACCAGCTCCTCTTTGTTCCGTCATGCACCATTCCCTTTCCCTCTCGGCGCTCTCTGCAAGCAGTTAAATAAAAATAAATCCAAGCGTGCCACGAAGACAACAGACTCTAATTGCTGTTTTTCATTCAAGCTTAACGATTCTCTCCTTACAGCTAACCCATAATTACCGTTCAGAGTTCAGCACATTCATTCACTAATACTGAAGGGTGCATTCTTTCCCTTGCATATCTAATTTAAATGGTCTTTTGTAAATGGTAGCTACAACATGGTGACAAGATAGTCATAAGCTCAGATTTCTGTTGTTGTTAAGTACAAATATTTTGATAAGTGCAGCTAACATGAGATATTTCCTCTTAGCTGGATATGATACACATTGAAGTATGACATTGGTACCATCTGTTCTTCATCATAAATATAAATGAAGTGATAATGAGCAAAATGTGATAAGGACTATCAGGATGATTGCACTCCAGTGGTTTAATTTGGATCTTCATTAATCTAAAAATAAAACAATCTACAAATGACAAATGAACACATTTTTACTGATGCTGTGCAAGTATCTTTTAGGCTATTGACTATGTTCTTGCCACTTAAAATGAAAAGTGAATAATGCAAAAGCAATTTTTTTTTAAGCTTCCATTGAGTTCTCTGTTCAAATCATTAACACACAATGCCCAAGGGTCTGTATTAAATCCCAGCATGGCTGGTGGTGGTGAAACAGAAGCAAAAAATACCTCAGCCCAGACGCTTCCTCACTGTGTGACCTTGGCCAAGTTACTTCACCTCTCTGCGCCTCCATCACCTTCCCTCCCAAGGCTGCAGTGAGCACTTTGAGCCAGTCCAAGGTTGGTGCCCAACATTATGCTTGGGCCCACGCAGCACTCAGTAAATAGACCTTGAGCTGTAGCAGGTGTTTATTAAGTACTTAGATGATGCACACATAAAATACCATTTATCCCTCACCATTTTTCTCCATTTCACACATGAAGAAATTGAGGCATAGAGAGATAAGCAATGCGCCAGACAGCACACAGATAGCTCTGTGGGCTCATCCAGCACAGGGGCCAGTCATTCCCTCCTATAGCTCATAACCCCCTGTGTTAGAATAGTCAATATCTTGGCCCGGCTCTCCCAATGGACTTTAAGTTCCAGGGTATATGTCATGCCAAACAGGTACCCATGAATGAATAAACAAGTGAACAAGTGTGTGCCTAAGGTCACACAGAGGCCATACACCATGGTGGTAAAGTGCACCCTTGCAAGCAGGCCGCCTGCTGCGTTTCTGGCTTTCCATTCTATGCTAGCTGGGCATCCCTGGACAAGTAGCTTAACTCCTCTGGGCCTCTGTTTCATTACCATAGAGATACCTGCAACCACCTCATTTCCTTGAATTGTTATGAACATTAAATGAGTTATGATGTGTAGTCTTACCTGTCAGGCATGTAGCAAGAGACCAGTAAAGAGTAGTGGTTATTCCTATAACATCCTCATTCTCAAAGCTGTGCCAGGCAGAACTCTCCAAGCCCTGGGGTTCTCCGGCCTTAAAGTCCACACACTAGCCTTGCTATGAAAAAATCATCAAAATTGTAAGCCTAGAAAAAAATGAAATGACTTAATTAAAACATTGGGAAAATACAAATTTATGAAATTGAACTTGACCTTGATGATACTGGGGAGAAGAAAGGAAGAGCCTATCCCTGCTTTTCATCCAGCCTACCCTGCAGGTTCTTGGGGAGGCCAAGCAATGGTAAGGCATGGCCTAAAAAGGGCTCTAACCTGAGTGGGACCTGTTCTTCTGACCTTGTCCTTTCCACCAAAAATCCTTCTTCTCACCTGAGGCTGGGGAGTCCAGTGTGTAGTGAGGAGATTGTCTGGGCCAAGCCACATGTGCTGTACTGCTTGCTCTGGGCAGGACCCCAGGGAGCTCTCAGCCATAGCTAGCCACCCTAAAAGGGATGTAATCAGTTGGGACAGGCCAAATCCACTTTGTAGTTTAAAAACCAAGCCCAAAGACATATCTTCCAATCATCTTCAACCCTGGCATTCCTGAATCTGGGAAGCAGTGACTCCTCTCCAGGTCTGGCGCATGTTCTGTTCCCAGGCATCCCTTGCTGATCCCTGCTCTGGGCCTTTGCTCATGCCTAGCCCTCACCCTCGGGTTCCTTCCTGCTTCTTCCCAACTTCATTGGCCTCTTCCATTTTCCAAGGCTCTGTACGAAGTATGCCTGAAGTTTTCATCCAACCCCTGGCTCCTCTGAAATCCCCAGCAGTGACTCTCCTGGGACACCTCTTGCATCTGGCCAGCATAATAACTCTCACATCTGTGACCTGCCTCCCCACACGGAGCCTGAGCTGCTCCAGCACAATGCCTATCCATTAGTCTTAATGGTTTAAGAATGCTGTGCTATGAATCTTGCAGGCCCTTAGTGAGCATGTGTGGACTAAAAGATTTGATTCCACGGGCAATGAAATGACCCAGTAATGCTCAAAGAACATTCAGGGCTAAAATGAAGTTCATGTGATACTGTATGTTTGGAAAATCACTTTTCGTTTTTCTAGTGGAAATGGCTTATGACATACTTTTATCACTTAAACTCTGTTGTTTTTTGCCCAGACTGTTGTACCTTTGCTCACCATGTGTGAATGAATAACTCTGCAGTCTGTAGGAGAGGCGTAAGCCGAAGTCCAAAATGATGAAGTCGAGCACAAGAAGATATTTTGAGCTCTAATGAGTAAAATACATGAACTGTTTAGAGAGAAAAGCATGCATAATTCACCAGTGTGCCACATGGCTATTTATTCTATTCAGAGCTCTGCCTACATGGATGAAAAATACAGATAATGCACCAGCACATGCCACAATTGACTAGATTCAAAGATGGTATCCTGTTTCCTAATAGAAAAAATACCAAGTAAATAGAGAGAGTGTATAATAGATTACCAAGTTTTAATCATTGTTTTTTTAAAGGTTTTTTTTTTTTGCAGTATCCTACACTAGGTTCTGTAGTCATTAAAAAGTACTGTGAACAAATTAAAAAAGGAGAATAATGGTTTAATGATCTCTTTAAAGTTTAGTTATTCAGCTGTACCTTGACTCCCAAGTGCACTTAACTCATTATCACTCTTGTTAGGTTAACACTTCTTTATAAATGCTCAAAACACTTGGATCTTGAAAAGGGTGTCTTAATGAGGGTGGAGTGTGGTAATTGTAGTTAAATCCATCTATTTAGTAAGCTATTTACATTTGGGTAATAAACTGTATCAAGTAATCTTGAAAGAATGATAAGTTTTGCTTCGTTGTCTCTGTAGTTCCAAATGGGGATTGTTTCTTACTTTGTACCTTTATAGAGAGTTTTAGATATTTCGATGTATAGCCACTGAAAGTTGTTAAAAATAAACAAATGAAACCCTTGTTATTCCAACTTGATGTTATAATTATTCCTTCTACCCAATGAATAAATGCAAAGCAAACATCAAAAGCCAGAGGAAACTCTGCTGATCACAAACACGGCAGTTTCCTGTTCATGCAAATGAGAAAGTTGGATTAAGAACAACTCTTCTGAGGGGATGCTGATTCTTTATTTGAAAAAGGTAACATTCCTGTTTTCTGCAATTGACCGTTTTCTTGAAGAGCAACAGGCATAGAAGGGTCACACATCTACAGTGATATTTTTTTTTCAAAGAAAACAATTAGTACTCATATCACAAAAGCTAATTCAGATTAATTAAAGAAAACCTACATCAGTTAAATATAATACTTCCTCTTTTCACTTGACTCACTATATACAAAATGTTACTAAAAAGTGTTGGGATTCAAGATAATAAAAGATGACAGTTGAAGGGTCTGGAGCTTGGAAGAAAACTTTAGGGTCTGTGACCATTTTAATTGCACATAATTATGGATAAGGAAGTGGAACAATTTAATTTCTGGGTCTTCATGCTATTAGAAGACTAATAGAACTGTATCAAAATTGGTTAAGTAAAATTGTAAGAAGCTATTTCTCATTCCACAATATAAATGGAAATTAAACGAAATGTTGAATAACTTCTGTCTCATCTTTTCATTTATATGATATAATGGTAATTCAAGATCTAGTGGAGATTTAGAACAAGTAAAATGAAACATACTTTGGAAATATTTGTTTTGTTTTTTGATTTGGGAAATACAGAAAAGTATGATGAAGAAAATAAAAATCTGCCCTAACATATACAGAATGCCTCTAGAAGGAAACACAAGAAACTGGTAATGGTTGCATCTGGGAAGGAAAGCTGGCCGTGGGGGTGGGCAGAGGAGGAAAGAGCCCTAGCTCTTACTAAATAGGTTTTAATACATTAGAATGTTATTCTTAAAAATTACATTGAGTTATGTCTTCAGGAAATTACTCATAATCTCACCAAAGAACAGGCTGTTTACATTGGAGTATACTTCCAGCATTTTGCTAAAGACTTACCATACTCTTCTTTCTCTTTAACAAAATTGCAGTTATGTATTTTATAACCTATTATATTCTGAGTTTATTCCATGTTATTAAGTGTTCTTACGAAGCTCAGCTATTAATAAACGAACTTTTCATTTGTGGATGAATCACTGATTTAACTAAATCCTCTGTGGTTGGGCAGATAGCTTATTTTCCATTTCCCATTGATGTAAATAGCCCTGCAGTAAGCCTTCTTATACTTAACTTTCTATACCTCCGTGATTATTTTCACAAGATATATTTTGTTGATATATCTCATGGAAATAATAAACACTGATGATGGAGCCAAAACAAATAAGCCTTTTGGAGCTTTTGATACACACATTGTCAAGATCTCCTCCGGGAAGAGATGACCAGTTTGTGCTTCCCCTGCGGTACACGGGAATGCCCTTTCCAGGGCGCGGTTCCCAGCACTGGCGAGGCATTGGGGAAACGCTCACACCGACTGGGCCTACTGAAATTTTCTAATCTAATAGCCATGAGTTCCATAAATTTTTTTGTTTCAAAATGTGGTTGTTATAGAGAAGCTGCCATTGTTAATTCCACAAAATACATTTCTTTGGAATGAAGTGGGAAGTATCCTAAACTTTGCTCCCAAAAGACCAAGACTTCCCAAATGTCAGGAACTGGTTTTCTGCCTTCAGAGCTGAAACGGCTTTTTGAGCTACAGAGTGTTCCAGAACAATAGGTCTTGTAAATCCATCACCCAAGGTTTCTGTCTTTGGTACCAATAGAAAATTTAAGACTGAGGAGCATATGCCCCCTCTAGAAATTCAGTTTCCAAAGATGCAGCCTGTCGGTCCAGTCAGGGGTCTTACTTCCCTTAATAGGTTGTCATCTCTTCAGACTGTCCCTTTTGGAAGATGCGATAGACCAGCAGAATACCTTGAATGTAGTCCCCAGGGGACATTTTCCAGATATGAATCTAATCTGCATTTTAACTTAGAACTAAAATGTATGCCTTCATTAGAAAACAGATGTAATGTGTATTCCATAAAGATGAATTTTCAAACTTCAGAAAAGCACAAAGAAAATATTGTCTTTAATTCCACCACCATTTGGAGATGCACTCAGTAATATCCATGTATTTTTGGTAAGCTAACATCCAATCTTCTGTGCCTACACATATTCTTATTTTGTAACCACAGAATAATACTATGCCTGCAGTGTTATAACCTGCTTTTTCACTTAATGTATCATGAACTGTTTTCCAGTCATTGTAGGTATTACAAAAATGGTTTTGATACCTGAATAGTATTCTGCCACCTAGATGTGCCTTTAAAAAAAAACATCAACTCCCAATATTTATTTCCAAATTTATCTATTAAGCCAGGAGCTCTCTTATCTATCCATACATTTAGCAAATACTCACGGCACATGGAATGGCTCCTGAGCTAAACCTAGAATCCTTTGAGAAGGCCAGAAAAGGGTGAGACACTTTAAAAATGTTTAATTAGTTGTGGAAGAGAAAACTCTTAAAAAATGGGCAAAAGTTAAATGTAGAATGATTTTGCACTTAAATTACTTCACAATTACATTGAAATTCTTTCTCCAGCTTAAAGAAATTAACTCAGGAAATGACAGGCGATACCTTATTGATTTGTTGAATGTAAGAAAAACAATACTGAATGCAATCAACAAGCCTATACACAGAGAAAAGGCCTTGGTCTCATATCAAAATACTAGTAAATTAATGTACATATGTATATATGTTTTACGTAAAAATTAAGTATTTTTAGTATAGTCCTCATATGTCATCTTTTGTAATTCCCGGCTTTAACCAACTTTTCTGATTAACTGATTGATAACTATTTTTAATTGCATTGGATAAGAGGATTTCCAATCAATGGATAACCTTGTGGAAAAAATCTTTTTAAACAGAATGGATTACTTCTTTAATTTGGTGCTAAAACAATGAAAAGCCATGTCGGCTTAAATGCACCATGAAAACAAATTGAACATGAATAATTTAACTGAGTTGTGGGATATATGGGCATTTTCTACCTATCCTCCTACACAATTTATAAATGGCCCTTTTCCTCCTCATACAAAACTCCTCCTCTGTGGAAGCCATGTTTTAGAAGGCATATTCTGTTATCTGTAGTTAAGAAAGCTCTTATGGAGCCATATC